CTGTTGTCGCGATGACGACTCCAAGCCCGACGGCAAACATTCAGGTTGTGACCGAGTATCTGAATGTGGATGCCAGAACGAAGCCATTGAAGGCAGTGCGAGACAAACTAGCCCTCGAGCTCCTGTACCACGGAGGCTTGGCTGCTGAGCGCCTTGGCCTTGAAGGCGAAGAATTCTACGAGGGCATCAGGCGCCTCTACAGCCAGCTCCCAATCCAGAGTTTGTCCGCGTGCTCCTTCAAAGACAGCATAGTGCCTGTGCCAAACCTGGTCGCCCTGGCTGAGCTCAATGACATAGGCCTGGGTCACCTGCTGAACAAGGTAGCTCTCCGCAAGGAGAAAGCCTTAGTCCTGGTGACCGACTCTACCTCGGCTTTGATCTACAAAGATCACGGCCAAATCATGAGGCGACATGTCGCGTGAGGTAGAGATGGCAGCTCAGTCAAACCACTATCGCCTCTTCAAGTACACCATGCTGTGGGGCAAAACCTTCACACATATTGCCCAAGAAGCTCGAAGACTGATGCCAAAGGGCTTTCGACCATCTGCATGGACTCTCTGGCGCAGTTTTTGGTGTTCCAAGATGGCTACCACGCCCGGGACACTTATGAGAACCGAGCGCACTTCTCTCAGTGCTTGAGCAATATTCTGGATCGAGAGGTGGTGGCATCTCGACTTCGTCCTGGCGTGGACGCGCTGGTTCATCACTTTCGACATGATGATGATACCTTCCGACCCAATGAGGAAACGCAGCGCATTGGGGCGGAGATGACGGCCACCATCAAAAGGCTCCAGGGTGAAGAAGAGGCCAGGATTCAAGCCAGGATCAATGCACGTAGCTCCGGGCAACCGGTAGCCCGATCTCAGGTGGGAAAGAGCGGATAGGAGTATCCCCACAGACATGCAGAGAGATCTCGCTGAGGGCGATTTGGACTTCGAGGCACCATTCATCCTCCCCGACACCGAGCTTGTCCCCGTGGAAAACAACGGGAAACCAACTTCGTTGCTGCCGGAGAAACCGTCGACGAGGCACTCGACATCATCGAGGCTTTGCGCAAGGTAAAGCCTGAGGCCGAGCCTGCTGCAAGCTCCCCGCGAGGGGATGCCTCCAACTTGGACGGTGCCGGCGAGGGCGAGGACATGGTCATCGAGGAGATGTGGCGCTCCACCACTGGAGGAGGAGATTGTCTTGCGGGCAGCGAGGGAAACCTTTCACTTCAGAGGTGGGGAATTTGTCCTGCACGATATGCCCCAAGACACCCTCAAGAAGCCACGCAAGCGCCTCTGGTTTCATCACAGTGATTTGGTGTTTTTCACAGGCCTAGTTCGTGGAAATTTCACGCGTGACTTCCCCGAGCTCAAACATGATGAAGGTCTCTGGGTCAGCATTGAGAAATGCCTCGATGTGTTCAACAAGACCCGCAGACGTCATTGGGGTGTCCGCCATCCAGATGGTGGCAGAAGACCGAAGAGGCAGGGTGGAGATAAGGGGGATAGACATTCAGCCTACTTCCCCGTGATCATCCGTGCCACGCAAGGTCACAATGCCAGCATCGCAAAGAACCCTGACACCGACTTCGCGCTTGCTTCCGCCTACTATTCCACCCTGGACAAGACGGAGTCGGCTTCGGCAGCCACCCGCAAGGGTGTGCCTATCGTCTGTTTCCCGGGACAGCTTCCAAAGCATCCTCCAGGGGGGCTTAGTGGCGGGATCCCAGGGCAGTGGCAGAGTGCAAAATTATTTCGCCACGTGTCCCGTCTCGTCTGAGGAGTACAGATCTGGCGTTCGAGCATACGCACCCATTGAGATAAAATGGGATACGGAAAAACTCCTCAGGAGCGGATGCCTTCTCTTCACCACCCGCTCCGAGGGCGTGCTATGCCGTGAACCCTGTGCTCCAGCCGCAATCATTTCGATCATCGACACCGTCAAGGAGGAGGTTCTCTACTCCCTGCGTCTCGATGATGCTCCGGAGATTCCTAGTGGCTCAGCTGGATCTGCGTTGGCACCCCGCAAACGGCAGCTTCCCGCAAGGGAAAGCCTATCCTCAACGGATGCGCCAATGGCAGAGCCAGATGATGAGTACGTGGAAGTGGAGGTTGAGCCGGACGAGCACATGGATGAGCCCGTGGGTGAGGTGCCGCAGCCTATAGGACTCTGCCATCCACGCACATGACCGTGGAGGACGTTGCTGCTGGTGTTCCCGAGGCGGAGAACCCCTTCGCAATGACGGGGCCATCAACCTTCCCGTGTCCAACGTGCCAGGCAGAGTGCTTCAGGCAACATCACTGCCTCCGCTGCCGGCATCGCCTTGCAGATTCACGCGGGGAGGATCGCCGCTTCATTCAGGCTGCCCAGCGCCAGAACCGGATTCTGGACCGCTTAGCAACCGTCGGCGTGTCGGTCCACAGCCCCTATGAACTGCAAAAGCTGGCGAAGCACACCAAAGATGAGGAACGTGGACAGATGAGTTACGAGGCTCACACGATCCGCAAGGCGAAGGACAAGGTCCAGCGTGCCCTCAAGATCAAAGGCACCAACTACAGGAATTTGGCGGACCGCTTTGACAAGGACCCCACTTTCGCAGCCCGGCAGGCGGAAAACGGTTTGACGCGCATGAACATGCGTCGTCTCCAGGTTTATGCCACTGGATTTTTGCCAGCACCCGGTCGTACCCGCCAGCAAGTCATCCTCGGGGCTGGAAGCCAGGCGGATTTCAACGCCTCCTGATCGGAAGTCAACGCCAAGCTCGTGATCTATGAAGGCGTTTGCCATCGAGGAGCTGCAAGCCTTGGGGTTGGCGGATGAAAACATGACCGTCAACATGGGTGTGGGCTGGCACGGCACGTTCATGGATGTTGCCACGTTTGCGGGGTTGGCCCTCGGCAACGAGGATGCCCGAAAGGTGCTCACCTTCAACGGCCTGGTCAATTTGCAGGCCATCAACCTCGAGGCTCTCAAGACCGAGATCAGTGAGCTGATAGTGGCTAATCATGCGCCGGCCAAGGCTAAGGTCAGGTCCGACCAGCCGGCCGCACATGGTATTCGGCCGCCGAATGGCGCCGTTACTGGGGCCAGTGATTCTACAGCATGATGTAGTGAAGGGCCATGTATGATAATTTCGGCTTGCTACACTCGCCACAAAAGCACACCTGAAGCTACCCGCGAGGGTATGCCTGTTTCTTTTGAGTGCTAGTGTGCGCCTTAGTGCTCACGCACA